CTCTCTCCCTGGCAGCTCTTCCCTGAACTACCGGGTGGCGCTGGGCAGGCAGGACGTGTCAGAGGCTGACGAGCCTGGTTCTGTGGCCGTGGCTGTGGAGAAGATCATCGTCCATGAAGATTGGGATGACTACTACGTTCGGTAGGGGTTGGGGTGCATCCGGGCTGGGTCGTGGGTGATGTGGCCACGGAGCCTTGTTGCCCCGGCCAGGGACCCTGTTCCCATGGACAGGGACCATTGTTCGTGTCTCCTTGCAGCAACGACATTGCCCTGATCAAGCTGGCAGAAGAGGTGCAGGAGACTGACACCATCCGTATTGCCTGCCTGCCGGCTGCTGACAAGATCCTGCCCAACGACTACCCCTGCTATGTCACCGGCTGGGGAAGCATGAGGAGTAAGTGGAGTGTCCCCAGGAGAGTCTCCAGAAAGGGGATGCAGGCAAAGGGTGTGAGTAACAAGCTTTGTCTCTCATTGCAGCCAACGGGCCCCTGGCCACCATCCTGCAGCAGGCTCTGCTGCCCGTGGTGGACTATGAGACCTGCTCACAGTGGGACTGGTGGGGCAGCACTGTAAAGAAGACCATGGTGTGCGCCGGCGGCGGTGATGTCAAATCTGCATGCAATGTGAGTGTGGGCACTGCACATGGTGGGTGCCCCAATGGTGTGCAACCGTGGGCACTGGGAGGAGAGGGGATGGAGCCATGGTGGTGGATGGCCAGGAGGGATGAGGGGAGTGTTGGCAGGGTGCCCAGGAGCAATGGCACAGAGTGTCTCTCTGTCTCTCCACACAGGGCGATTCTGGGGGCCCCCTGAACTGCCAACGTGAGGATGGGATCTGGGAGGTCGAGGGCATCGCCAGCTTTGTCTCCAGCCGGGGCTGCAACACATACAAGAAGCCAACAGTCTTCACCCGGGTGTCTGCCTACATCGACTGGATCAACGAGGTGGGTGCCTCTTCCTCTGCCACCCCCACCCCCACACAGGGGCTGTTCTTGCCCCACTGAGGGTCTTACCGTGTCCCCCCTGTGTCTTTTTGGCAGAAAATGAGCACAAACTGAGGACGCAGCATTGTGGAGATACCACTATTGATCAAAATAAAAGCAAAAAACGCAGAGCTGGTCTCGCTCGTTTTTTGGTGGAGGGGATTTGGTGGAGCTGGGACACACATCCAGGGCTGGTTCTGCTGATGCCAAGGCCCTGCTTGTGTTCTGGGGAAGGTGTCCTTATTGTGCAGTGGGGATGGCCAGGACTCTGCAGAGGCTGTTGGGCACATCCTGCAATATGCTTCCAGTCCTCAAGCTGTGGCTGAGGCAACGGCCTGGAGGGTTGGCAATTACTTTGATGGGAGAGGGGCTGGGTTTGTCCAGGTTATTCAAGGGAGCTCCAGGGAACCCATCTGGCCCTTGGGGACGATCTGGAACACCTGGTAGCTCCCAGATCGCTTTCGGGGACCTCAATGGCACTGCCTAGATGAGGGCTGACTTTCAAATGATGGCTCTTGAGGGAACTGGGTTGGCCTTGGGGAGCTTGAGAGAGTCTGACTGGTTTGGGAGNAGCCAGCCCCAGCTGCCCCCTCCCCTCTTGCTGTGGTGTCTGTAGGTGTTGTTCGTGCCCCCACATCCCCAGCGTTCCCCCCGCCCTGAACAGCACCCTGTTCTCTGCCTGCAGCTGCACTGGGGGTTGCTGCTGCTGAGTCCCAGGGGAGCTATGTCCTGAATGTCTGTCCCTGGGACACCTGTTTATGTTGTGAGTGCATTGGGAGATTTGCAGGATGGGGCTTGTGTAGGTGGCCGTGGTGGGTGTTTTGGTGGCCATGCTAGCCCAGTGGCTGTTGGTATTCCTATGTCTGACACCAGTGACAAAAGCCGTGGCAAGGGCCAGGTTCTGGTAGAGGGGCTCTGTGTCTGTGTGTGTGTGTGTGTGTGTGTGTGTGTGATGCTGGGGATGCGTGCCCACCCAGCTGAAATGGAGCCCCTCAGGAGCTGTGTCTCTCTTTATTTTGGTCAAAGACATACAGAAATGCAGCTGCTGGTTCATGGGGCTGTATTATGTTTTTTTTATGTTGTATTCAGCCTGGCAGGATGAGTGTGGTGGCCACAAGTGGTTGCCATTGGTCACTGAGACTCTCGTGTTTGTGGGTGGCTGCAAAAACCCACATCTGTCCCACAGTGTCCCCCGAGTGGCGGTATAGGGGGTGTGTTATGTTTTTTTTAATTTAATCCCAAATAAATATTATATTTCTAAAGTGCTGGTTGCTGGTTGCTGGTTGGGTGGGGGAAGGAATCTGGGGAGTGGGATGTGACTGTGGCCACGTAGTTCCCACTGGAGGTGGTGGCAGTGAACAGGAATGAGCCATGGCTCATTGTGCCAATGGTTTGGGAAGCAGCAGGGGCCTGATGCAGGTGTGGGGGTGTGTACTGAAGGCCATCAGCAGCGCTGCTGCTATCTGCACTCGTCCCACCCTATGGCACCTGTGGGGTTGTGGCTGTTCTTGACCATATCCAGAGTGAGATAAGGAGACCTTGTGCCTAGGGAGTGGTGGGGTGAGAGGGCAGTGTCCTGGGGAAGTCACTGCTCAGGGCTGGGGGGCAACAGGGCTTCCCAGCACCTCACTGACAGCATCATGGGTGGGGGGCTGCCCCAGCAGGGAGTGACCCTGTGCCCCAGCAGGGACCCTGCCTCTTCCCAGAGCAGGGGCAAGTGTCCCCACCATGTCCCAGCATGGTGCCAGCACATGAGGGGCAGATGTGGCCATTCCCAGGCAGGACCATGAGTCTGATAAGAGCAGGNCGGGGCTGCGAGCCACTGGGAGGTTCGGGAGCTGGGGCTTTCCCAAGGGAAGGATGCTCTGGAGCAGAGCCCTGCCACGCTGTCCTCACTGCTGCTGTCCTCGGGATCTGACAATCCGGCTGTAGAGGATAAAGTGAGGCAGGGAAGGGTTTTGCCTCTCCACAGGGGAGATGGTGCCCTTTGGGAGATGCAGGATGCTGGTATCCCAAAAAAACAGAGAAGGGGATTGAGAGAAAGGAAGGGCCCTGCATCTGGGGAGGTGGCATGCGTGGGATGAAGTGTCGAAGTCAGGCCAGCTGACCCACCCCTTGCAGAGAAACTGTGGGATGCAGGATGGAGAAGGACTTTGGACAAGGGCATGGAGTGATAGGACAAGGAGGAAAGTCTTCAAAAGTGACAGAGGGCAGGATTAGTTTGGATACCGGGAGGAAGTTCATCCCTATGAGAGCGGTGAGGCCCTGGCACAGGTTGTCCAGAGAAGCTGTGGCTGCCCTATCCATGGAAGTGTCCAAGGCCCAGTTGAACAGGGCTTGGAACAATCTGGGAAGGTGTCCCTGCCCATGGCAGGGGGTTGGAATGAGGTGGTCTTTAAAGTCTGTTCTAACCCAAACCATTCCATGATTCTGTGATCCTGTGCTCCAAGTGGGGTACTAGAGGCAAAAATCATGTGGGATCTGTATCCACAGCATCACTCTGAGGGTGCTGGCATCAGTAGGCAGGGATGAGCAGGACCAGCCCCATTTTGGGGTCCCTGGCAGATCAGGAGGGTGCTGCTGGAGACACGGACGGAGCCGACAGCAGCAGAGGAGGTGCAGATGAGTCACGGACCTGCATCATGGGGAGCCGGGGCTCTGCGTGGCTGCTGCAGTGACAAGATACCAAAAAAAAGCCTTGTCACAACGGGTGCAGTGTGTAGCTGCCCACCTACAGCGTGTGGAGCTGTACAAAGCGTGGCTGTGTGCTGGCTCCCCATGGAGATCCTGCTGTGCCACGCCAGCACGCTGCTGGCACAGCCCACGGTGCACAGGCAGTGGGCAGGGAGGGAACAGCAGGGTGGCTGCGGGGAAGCTGGAGGGGAAGCTGGAGGGGACTGTGGCATGGCCACAGACAGGAGTCTGAGGAGGGGCATTCCTGAGATGTCTGTAGGTAGCATCAGTGAGCAGAGCTCGCTGTGACCTGGGGAGCAGTGCCCAGTGAGCTAAGCCCCATGGCTTGCTATCCCAATGCTGCAGCCAAGGGGAGCATGTGCTCAGGCTCCTGGCACAGGGAGTGGGCAGCAGGCTTGGCAGCATCCTGGCAGGTTCTCCTGCCAAGTGCCACGTGGAAACAGGCACGATCCTGGATAATGCTCCAGAGAGTTGTTAGCAGTTCAGAGGCAGCTCCCTGTGGTCTGGAGAGCTGCCGGAGACCGTTAGTGCCCAAGTCCTTGCTCAGCCCTCTTTGCTTCCCAGCCAGTGTGAGAGCACACAGGGGTCTGCTACTGGGGGGTCAGTGTGGGGGGCTGTGTGGGCTCTGCACCCCGTGGTGATATGTCAGGATTGTGCCACCATCCTGCAGGTACGATGCAGGGAAAGACGGCTTCATTGACCTGATGGAGCTGAAGCTGATGATGGAGAAGCTGGGGGCTCCACAGACACACCTGGGACTGAAGAACATGATCAAGGAGGTGGATGAAGACCTGGACAGCAAGCTCAGTTTTCGAGAGGTGAGGTGTTAGGAGGCTCCACACTGGCCCAGAGATGTCCCCAGCCACTGTTCAGGCTGGTGAGAACTTGGGCAGTGACTGTGGTGGCTTTGAGGTCTTCAGGGAGCCAATGCTGCCATCTCCCCTCACAGTTCCTGCTGATTTTCCGGAAGGCAGCAGCAGGTGAGCTGCAGGAGGACAGCGGGCTGCACGCCCTGGCCCGGCTCTCCGAGATCGATGTCTCCACAGAGGGAGTGAAAGGTGCCAAGAACTTCTTTGAGGCCAAGGTGAGACAGGGCTCAGGAGGTCCCATTGCAAGATGGCAATGCACCAGGGCGGTTTGGTGATGGGTAGGCAGGAGATGGAGATGTTGGGGTGGGCAGGAAAGCTTGGTGAAGGTCACAGCTGAACATTTCCATCCACAGGCACAAGCCATCAACGAAGCCAGCAGGTTTGAGGAGGAGATCAAAGCAGAGCAGGAGGAGAAGAAGAAGCAGGCAGAGGAGCTGAAGCAGAGGAAGGCAGCCTTCAAGGAGCTGCAGTCCACCTTCACGCAGTGACAGGGCCAGG